CTTGACAAGGGTTTTTGTATATTAATCTTTTTTCATTTCCCAGATTCTAGTCCTTCTGTATTGAATGGTTTGCTTTTTTATTTTTCATTGCGTGACAGTGCAAGCCGAGAATATGCGCTGAGACGCAATCTCAGTGGTGCATTTTGAGACACAATTTTGAGAAATTTTACTGTTTGTGCACTGACCTCGTCGGGTCTGGATGATTTTTCCCAAATTGTTACTTATTTTCTGTAATGATAAATATTTGGGGGAAGCTTCTACCCATCAAATACCTCAGATAGAACCAACGACCGGTATCAAGTGCTAATGAAGAATATCTGCTATAAAGATCCCTTCATATCTTAAACTGCCATGAAACAGGAAGATGTTTTGAAGACGGGAACTTTAATTTACCTAGTATGATGTTTTGACTCTTTTTTATCCTAAAAGACTAAACATATGCATTTTTTCAGGATTGAAATGTTTTGATTGTCTGAAGCTGTTGGATTCGTCCGATAACACAAACGGAGTTCATTATATAAATCCATCCCATTCTTCAAGCTTGGTGATCTAACTCGGAGAGTACCTTTAGGGCACCGGAGGTTTTTTTCTCACTTGCGGCGGGATGCTTCGGTGGAGGCCGCAGGCCGACAGAACTTCGGCCTTTGGCCGAAGCCACGTGCGAAACTGAAAACCGCGACTGAAAAGACTCTGGCACCAAGAAATACGGAGAGACATCTTTTTGAAATTGTAGTTCTCCACTGTGAACATGAGTCCTCGCCACAGACGAAACAAAACTCTCTGGTCAAGTCCATCATGTTTTGAATGTCTGAAGCTGTTGGATTCGTCCGATAACACTAACGGAGTTCATGATATAAATCCATCCCATTCTTCGAGCTTGGTGATCTAACTCGGAGAGTACCTTTAGGGTACCGGAGGTTTTTTTCTCACTTGACACGGGATGCTTCAGTGGCGGCAGCAGGCCGACAGAACATCGGCCTGTGGCCGAAGCCACGTGCGAAATTGAAATCGGCAAGTGAAAAGTCTCTGGCACCAAGAGATACGGAGAGAGGATTTCTTGAAATTAAAGCGCTCTACAGACGAAACAAAACTCTCTGGTCAAGTCCGTCTGCAAAAGAGCATCGATCGAAATCTTCGTTCTAGGCCCTCACATGTGTACCAAGATTGGAGTAAGCACCATGATTAGCCTGCCTCAAAGGAAATTCGAAAAGCACATCCGGTAATTCGTTGATCGAGTCCTTTTGGGGCGCAGAACGTGTATCTCGGTGCTGATTCGCAGACGTTACTAACCGAGGTTAAAGTACGCGCTTCTGCGACGCAGGATAGTAACTAGGAAGCTTTAGCAACGACGACGGCGACGGCAACGAGAACGTCAAAAATGCAATAGGTTTATTACGCAAAACAACAACTTTGCACGTGCGTCACGCTTTTTAGTACATTTCTTTATCGTCCTTGCACGACTACGACTGGACGTGAAAATGCCTTAATTGCAAGTTTCATGGAGGACGTAAACAAGCGACGACGAATCTCTTTTTCTCTCACTAAACTTGAGTGCGGTCCTCAAGAAATCAACTCCTGGGAAATTCACCTACACTTGCCATTTTCAGCAAATTGGAATAAACGCGACAAAGATTGGAAAAACGGAAATTCATTTTAAAACTGACGTTTTCGCTGCCGTTGCCGTCGTCGATGTTAAAGCTCCCTACTATGAACAGCGACGCCCTCGACAATATAGGAAAGCTTTCCGGCGCGCTTCACTACCGTTAGTTCAAAATTAGGGAACGACGTCAGAACCAACGCTGAGCTTGCAAGTGCGAGCAACAAATAACTTTCCGTTAAGCGCTGATATTTGCGAGGTGGACAGGAGCACCGAAAATTTAGAAAGAAAAATCACATCATATTTTCAAAGGAGAACGTGGTATATATTTATTGTAAACGATGGATAACTAAATATAAATTCTTCTTTACCTGACGACGACACCATGGCTGCCAAGAGAAGGAAGCATATCAGAGAGGCCGCACAACAAATCTTCATCTTTACTGGCTGATTTTATTTTCTGCAATAAAAATGTTATCAACGACTGGAGCAATCAGTCAACTATAATATCAAAGGATATTAATCAACTAACGGCACAATTCCGCCACTGAGTTTGCCGTTTTGAAACAAAGAAAAGCTGAAGGCGGATCCGTTGTTGTAACACGTGCGTTGATCTATCTATCTTTTTGCTCCTAACTTGACGGCTACTAAACTTTGCAAAAAACCTGCAGCTATCATTGAGCAATAATACAAAAGCATGAATTTGGCTCATGAAAAATTTCGCTTATGTTTTTCCTTGAATTTCTACTATCAGCTTTTTATCGAGAAACCATTGGATCAGAAAACCACTAGTCCAACCACTTCAGCCTTGAATTTGTTTTTGGGGTTTTCAAAATTTTTTGCTCTAAATCTTTCCAATGCCTGCTGATTCTGAATTTCAAGCCGTTCGACAATCGTGCTATTCTTTAAAAACTGAGCACCTGGTGTTTTCTGTTTCAAAATTGGATAGGGGTGGAGGTGGAGAGAGATAGGGGATCCAAACCAGAATCCCTCCCCATTCTTGGCTTCCTTGTGATAGCGGAATAATAAGCATTGTTGCGTAATTTACTCCTATTCCATCATCCCGCTTACTACCCTTTTAAAGCTCCCACGGCCCGCTTTTCCTCTTGCGCCTCCCGTACCACTTCCTCTCACTATTCGATTCTCCAGGGATTCTACTGCCATGTCCTCCCCCACTTAATAACAGAGCCCTGTAGCTAACAAAATTTGGTTATCCATCCATCGGATAAATTTTGGTAGTTTAGTGACTGGACGTCCGCCCGCCCCCGTCCGTCCACACCAAAGAGAAACCAATGTGAAATGTTGCACATACATGTTGTGGTCAATTGACAGCTGTCAAAACAAAGTATCCGCTGACCAGTATCACAGGACCATATCGTGGGCTCGGGTTTCAGTTTACCCCTGAAAAGATACTTGTTTTCAACCAGTCGCAAGCTCACCTTTAAGTGGATTTCTTTTCAATATGTTTTCATTAACGGGAGCTTCGCCTTTTGCCTCTGCTAAATCTATATATCTATTTTTGGATACAACTACCAGTGAGAGTATCAACACATCTCTTACAAGGAAATTCTTTTCTAAAATGCGTCATCCTGGCTATTGTTAGTAAGAATTAACATGGTGCCTCGTTAATGACATGCAATTTAAGAGAAACTTTGATTGTCCGTATTTCCAGCAATTTCAGGAATCCTTTGAATTATTGTCTACCGGGATCGTTAAAAATTTTTGTGCTTTTGTTGTAAATTAATTATACTTAGCTTCTATTAACAGTCAGAACATCCTGTTGAAAAGTCCTTCGCCTAGAGTTATGACAATTCATAAAACAATCTTTTCTCTTTTAAGGTTAAAAGATTTGGAGAAACCAACGTTTAAATAAACTAACTATATTATGAGCCCCAAACAGTTTTGAATAATCAGTCAGACTCACACCAATGCAATACGTCCACTAAACAACAGATGATTGGTCAAAGAAAAAATAGAAAAGCATGGAAACGGAAGTAGCTGTTTAGAAACAGTTAAATAAGCTATCAAATCGTTTTGAACATGGGATTTTCGTTAACTTACCAAGATCGACCCACTTCAATAACTGAGTTCACTTGCTTAAAGCTCTTAGGTACTCATCAAAATCCACCCAAAACTAGGATACAATGACTCGCAGTCGTTGAACATCTATAACAAGTTGAATACAAAATGAAGCAATGGCAAATAGATATGACATATTAGGTTTAACACTGTGACTTAATCCTATAGTCAGTCGCATCGAGTTTTCAGATTCTTACCAGATGAATCAATAGGTAGGTCGTTTTTCGCAGTGATCAAATTAAAGAACCAAACCAACGCATAACTACAGCAAAACTGGTATTAAACGGACGAGTAGCTCGGTTTACATACATTGTATTTTTGAAACCGTGTCTCTTACCATATTTTTAGTAAAACGAACCTGACTTTAGCAGACATCTCTATTAAACGGAGACAGCGAAGATTCTGTGGCTGTCCGTCTAACACTGGTAACAACTGTGTAGTTGATACATATATATCAGGGGCACCCAACGGCAATTTTCGCAAAATACCTGTTCGGAAGACGATTTGAGATTTAGAATTTTCGGAACATTTGTTGTAAAATTTCTTGCCTGCCTGCCTCTCCTAGGATTTTCGAAAATCTACGAAATGGTATAATTACCCATTATTAACGGATTTTTACCCGAAAAAAGGCCACCTAGAATTTTCGGGAGCCTTTTCCTAGCTGAAATTTTCGAAAAGGTAAGTTTTGATCCCTATAATTTTCGGATCACTAGACTTTCAGCTAGGAAATCCGAACAGATGAAAAGTTTTTAGGGGATAAAAATATGCCTATATCTACCGTTTAAATACTAGAATACATTCAACAATGCTATATTAAGTGGTTTTGAGCTATATCCTCGTTGGGTGCCCCTGATATATAAGGGATGACCCCACTCCATTTAATTAAACTGTTGCATCGCATTTCTTTAGCCGACCAGTCCAGTTGATATTATAAATCTGATTTGAAATTTAATTCTGCAATTTTACTGAAAATACTTATTTTGAGATGCTATTTTGCTTCTGTGGTCATAGTTTACAGAATTTTATGAAGTTACTGAACGGAAACGATTCTGCTGGAATGAACGGTATGAAAGGTATGAACGTAGAAGGTATGGCCGACCTTGGTAAATCACAGTGAACTGCAATTATAGTAATTAATTCAAAAAAGGTTTCAAGTTTTATTCATATTAGCGAAGCCTCCAATACTATAGAAACTGGAAACCCATCGATGCGAGAAAATTTGGTTGTTACTTCAAGTACCGACCGCCCGTCCTTACAGACCCTAAGGGTAGGGGACGAGAAAGGGAGTCCCAGACATGCAGCTTACTTTTGTCTTGGCTTAGAACTAACCAGTTTAGAAGGAACCAATAGATTTTTTCTAGTAAAAATCTAGATTGAAGTTTTTTTGTGTTTTAATTACGACAAGAAATTTCGAATAATTATATAAGTTTTGTCACGCTTTTTGGTCACGCTTCAGGACCAATCTTATCTCAAAAGAAAATTATGTGGCATCTTAAAATTTGTTTACAGACAAGAAGCTTTGTGTAGTTTAAAGATCTTAACTTTTCTTGTACTCCTTCCGTATCGCTACAAAATTAACTCTTCTGTGAAACAAAGCTGGTTTGATGGTTTGCTTATTTGGTTTATCGTTAAGGGAAAGTTGCAGGGATTCATCAATGACTGTAGGTTTTGAAAGTTCATGCAAGTTTGACTACAGCAGAGTACAGGAAAAACCTTAGGCGTTTCTGACCTCATGTACTGCCTTTTTGAGGGTAGCTTGTGTATTTATTTTGTGTGTGAAGTGGGGCGATAGAAAGCTTATGTTATGTCACTAAATACCAATGAATGTTTTCAAGATTTGAGACGATGCATGACCTCGCATTATTAGATTATAAACACGCAAACTTATCAACATTTTTCTGTTTGCAAAATAAAAGAATAAGTTTTAAAGCATAGTTTTGTATTGGTTTCATAAAGAAAGCTTTCATATTGATTATAAAAGTGGCTATGAAATTTAAGAACTTTCCATGCTAATGAATAGGGTCACTTAGTTAATTCGGCCAAATTCTAATAGCACAATGTCATGGCCGTGTAAGTGATAATTTCTATCATATGATGGCTGATGCGTTTCATTAACGTTCTGACCAAAACCTTCATTCTATCTCAGTGAAATAGAAGGGGACTAATTCGAAGATGAAAGGGTAAGTTTCTGTTCGACAAGACCAACAGGTTAAAAATGGAGGCGAATCACTTTTCCCGGTAAATTTCCATCTGGGTAGAAACAAACCTTCCTGAAACTACTGTAAATCTTGGTGTTATGGAAAACACGCAAGTTAAATTTTCTAAGGACTGAACGCGAAGAAATATAAATCGTCGACGATATTATTGAAACAGGATAGCTCAAGGTCAACGCTTCTTGCAAAGACCTGTAAAGAGAAAACCAGGAACACGACAAACTTTGTTTGCAGACTTTATTTCCATTGTGTTACATTGCCAGAGCTTTCACCTTTTTAAACCTGATTTAATATTATAACTAACTGAACTAATCTAATGAACAGGTGTTGAATGGCCGCCATCTTGTTAGCATTGGGATAACCTCTCACTCACTCTGACCAGAACCGGAAGCGGATGTTTCCTCCTGGAAGAAAAAAAGGCATATTGGAAACATATGACCATAGCATAATGTGCCTGGCTTAATCCTTCAAAGTAAGGGGAAACTTTAATTTCCGGTGTGGGTTTGCGGGGGGGGAGGGGGAGGTGGGTCTAGGAACAAGGAGTATAAGGTCCTTTTGGGTGAAAGATACCAGTACCGTAGCAGCTGCTCGCAATGTATCTCCTCATTGGTCAGGGGCGGATCTAGGCGGAGGGTGCAGGGGTGCACCCCCCCCCCCGAGATGACCTGCGGTTTTCTAATACAACTGGTATTCTGCAGAAAAAAAAACTATGTGGTTTATTGGTGTTGAAGTAGAGCAAGAGACGAGTGCACCCCCTCCTAAGAAAAATCCTGGATCCGCCCCTGTTGGTCGTAGAAAACAATAACACAACATTGTTTATCATTAGTTCCATTGTTTAAGGTTGGCGAGCTGCTAAATCTAAGATACTAAATGCTTGTTATATAGTAAGCTGAGGTTTCTGAAAACTCTATCGAAAGAATAGACTTTCAATTTGAAAGGGGAGGCCTATGGTTTTTGCATGTCCGTCAACGAGCAAAATGGAAAGTTTTTCGAAAACGCTGGAATTATAACTACTTTTGCGCGGAATTTGAAAACAACTGGACCAATCCAATATGCCTATAAGAAAAATAACGTATCACTGGGTCGTTTTCAACAGCGTAGTGGTAAAGTATATATGATAATATGATGGTAAACTTGTAGTTTTCATTGTGTTTCCGACAAAAAAAGGAAGAAGGAAGATTTTCGAAGAATTAGTTTTGCGGGATGTTTCTTTACTGGATTTTAATGAACTGTGCAAACGTGGAAATTTAGTAATTCAAAAAAAAAAACAATTTAAAAGTAAAAACAAAAGTTTAGCTTACGTAGTCGCCCCATCGTCCGCGTCGTCTCCCTAAAACAAATGAGTTGCCTCAATATTAATAAGCTAGACAGGGGCTGTTTTTCTTCAGGGATCAGACATGCGGTTTTCCTTCAGCAGCGATTAAAACTGCTTTAGACCTGAGCTTATTCTGCATAGTACCCTTTAGTTAACTAAAATTTTGCGTCACACGGCAAGGCTGTACAGTCATTCATGTTCAAACCCCACTTTACGTACACCTGATTAAAGTTTCTGTGTCACGAAATTCAGCCAAATTAGGGAATTACAAAATGCCCGTTAAATTAAGAGAAACATAAAAATAACCGCTTAAAACTTTAAAGGAAGGTTAAAATAACACTAACAGAAACAACAGATGTCACGGATGGGCAAAACTGAAGAAGATTGAAACGGATTGAAATTAGGATTTTTGAAAACTGTTCAGCCCAACAGTTTTTCAAAGTTGATCCCTGCTGCTTGCAACTTCAAAAATAATGCTCAGGAAACATCTTTGTTTGTCTCGAGTCTCTGATTTTGCCATTTACATGTAATTTCTTTGCTTGCTTTAAGTTCCATAGCGATTGAGGGCGAGTAATTGGCAAAATTAAGCAAAATGAACTGGACTGCCGTACGTGACTCAGCCCCTTTAATACGGACACCTCATTATAAAGGACAGTTTGTTTTGTTTAGGAAAAGAAACCCCTTACGTTTTCTCTTAATCAACCTGCTTAATACGGACACTTTCTATGCCCCCCTCGGTATCCTTATTAGGGAGCTTTAGCAACGACGACGGCGACGACAGCGAGAACGTCAAAACGCAATAGGTTTATATTAGCAAAACAACAACTTTGCACGTGCATCACGCTTTTTTTTACATTTCTTTACCGTCCTTGCACGACTACGACGTGAAATTGCCTAATTGCAAGTTTTATGGAGGACGTAAACAAGCGACGACGAATCTCTTTTTCTCTCTCTAAGCTTGAGTGCGGTCCTCAAGAAATCAACTCCAGGGAAATTCGCCTACATTATCATTTTAAGCAAATTGGAATAAACGCCACAAAGATTGAAAAAACGGGAATTCATTTTAAAACTGACATTTTCGCTGCCGTTGCCGTTGTCGATGCTAAAGCTCTCTATTAACTGGGCTTGACTGAATCTGCGTGGAGAACTGTGCTGTAGAATGAGTGATCAAATTTCTTTCAACATTTTTACGAGATATTCTCCTCTCCTCAAGTCTCAAGTCAGTCCTTGCAATGAATTTTCCTTATAATTACAGTGCGCGATGATCACACTGCAATGCAAGTTTAGTGTTTTAGAGTTGATCCGGTCATACATAACCTGCTACACTAAAAACGGCTGTAGCAGACAAGGTCATACAAGGTAATCCAAAACAGTCTTGTATTGTGGATTCTACGTTGTTTTTTGGAACTAGGAAATGGACCATTGATCGGCGAAGTCCACAAGTTAAGTGAAATTCAACATGATAAGAAGACCTAATGCACACACTACAAGCAAAAAACAACTTGAAAAAACTCTT